ACATGTGGTAAGCCCCATATGTTTGTTGAGCTGAAAATGTACAACTCTTTGTTAAAACATTTAAGTGTAAACATTAACTAATATTTCTAATCACCATCTATTTTTAAGGGACTTTAGGAAAAATTTTTAAGTATCAATGTGGATTAGCTTCCCGGTGGTCAAGATGAATTTTGTTTTCCTTTTTTCTAGAGTCCCTGACCATAATAAGATCATGTTTGTAACATGAAAGAAAATGCAAGCAACAGTTGAGCTGGAATTTTCCAGAAGGTTATATTTCTTTCTTTTTCCCACCCTCCAACTCTAATTTTCATCCCCACTTTTCCTTCAACCCTTTACACACCACCAGATCCTTCTCCAACAGATCCTTCCCTTCCCTTCACAGCAAACGTGCCCCATATCAAGTTTCGTTTTAAGTTCTTCAGGGAAGAAAGATATGATGCAGTGGATCAGAACCTTTGAATAAAAGAGAACTGCTTCCTAGGAGTCAGCTGAACAGCGTGAAACGGCTCTCTTTCCAGCACCAGAGGGTTATTTACGATTTTGGAGCTACAGTTTTGCACATGCAAGGTTCAGCAGTGTGATAGGGGAGAAAAATGACATAGGCGGGTGCCGCATGAGCAATCAAATCAAACCTGGAGTTTGTCATGCCCTCTGCTTGTGGCCGAACAAACATTTCTGCTCTTAATCATAAGAGTAATTTTTTAAGTGTCACACAAGCATTTCTGGATGAGCAGTAAGATTGTATTATCTTTGTTGAAGAAAAACAGGTGAAGAAGTTGATATTTTGAATCAGATTTTAACTGCAAATATAGGCAACAATAAGAAAAGGAGAAATAAAGCCTAAAATTAAATTCTGATGATCTTATCAATGTAAATAGTCATTTTTGTTACATAATAGATTTTTAAATAAAAAAGTGATTTAAAAATCTGAGCAAATAAAAAATAAAGTGCAAGGAAGAGAAAGTCCCCAAATCAAAGAAATTTCTTTCAATTTCTTTTACTCTTAAAGAATTAATTCTCTTTTTAAAAGCAAGGTCTTTGACTTAGTTTTTGTTATTTTTAACTGTGGTAAAACATATAGGACATAAAATTTGCCATCTCAATGATTTTTAAGTTTACAGATCAGTAGTGTTCAGTATATTCACACTGTTGTGCAACCAATCTCCAGAACTTTCCATCTTGGAAAATTGACACCCTGTACCAATTAAACAACATTCCATTCTCCCTGTCCTCTGCCCCTGGCACCCACCCTTCCACTTTCTGTCTCTATGAACCTCATAGAAGGGGAAGCACACGGGATTTGTCTTTTTGTGACTGGCTTATTTCACTTCACAGAATGTCCACCAGGTTCATTCATGTTGTAGGTGTCAGGACACCCTTGGTTTCTAAGGTTGAATGCTGTCCCGTTCCCCCTATAGATCACATCTGTTAATCTACTCATCTTCTGATGAACACTTATTTCCAACCTTCCAACTTACTTTTTCAACAATTTAACTCGGCAGGCACTGGTGCTAAAGCCAGACCACCTGTGTTCAAATCCCTCATCTCCACTGCAGCACAGAAAATACAAATGTTAAATATAATATTGTATATTAGCTACACTTCAGTAAAAAATATCCCAAAAATTGGGTAAAGGAAAGATAGGCACGCCCTGGAAAGCAAGTGCTTGGTGAATGAAAACACTGCCATTGCTGGGTTTTCAGATACCAGAAATTCATTCCAACATTTGTTCATGAGTATGAACAAACACATCCTGGATGTGGAAAGTGCAGAGATAGGGCGTCTTCCAGGACAGTGGTGGCCAAAGGACAGCCGTGGGACAGGCAGATAACCACCAGCACTGGAGAAATGGGGTGACAGGCAGTGGGAGAGCGCTGCCCCACCCTGGGTTGGCGTCAGGGTGGGCTTTCCAGAGCTGAGTCCTAGAGAAGGAAAGAGTCGGGAGGGCACGCAAGGCAGGAGGCGCTGCAGGCAGGGGACAGCAGAGCCAGCTGTGCAGGGGAGGCTGAGGCTCAGGACGGGAGGTGGGAAGCTAACTCAGGGAAAAGGGAAAGCCCCCAAACTGACCAGAAAAGACAGAAAGAGGCCTAAACAAATGTCCGTCAATACGAGGAAATGAAAGCCCGTGCGGAGGCGTGTGTCCCTGGATGCCCATTCTGGCACCAGCGTGGATCTCCTGACCCGTGCCTGTGGGGCTGCCTCACCTGCTGGAAACAAACCACAGTTCAGGGGAGAAGGGGAAGCTGTAGCAGCAAAAGCTGACGTGCATTAAAAGCTTATGGACTTGATGTTGCACCTCATTCCATTAAATGGGAATATTTTAGAAGTCTAAGACACGTCCCACAAAAGGCCACTTTACACAATACAAACTATTTAATTCTCCAGTTTTTCAAATACGAGGAACTTGTCACATCACTACATTATAGTTCTATATTAGTATTTATTTATAATGCCCACTTTATTCAAAAACAACACTGAATCAACTACCATCTTATGCTATATGGCAGTCACGTTTTATAGGTTATAAAATTGCAAAAAAACCTACAAGGTTATTTGCCTATGAAAAGAGTTTCTAGTCCAAGACACTAGCCAGGAGCTCACCGGACCACCAAAATGAGAACAGAAAGGTCTGAACCCTGCTCAGGGAAGAGTCAGGACACCGCTGTGCCAGTAGTGATGATGATGCAATGCCACGTGCCCGCAAGGAGGACGCAGAAGGGCAGGGGTTGGGGGAGGCACTTCAGGGTGCAAACACCCCTTATGGACTTTGCCATTCACTCCCCCATGCATCCCCTCCCCTAGTGCCTCACGGTGCCAGGAGCTGTTCTGGGTGTTGGAGGTGTCTGCCCAGGAATGCTCCATGGAGGACATTGCTGCTAAAAACTAAGTAAAAGTTCCCTGGGTGGGGTGGCCAGAAGGAAGCTATTCCAGGCAGAAAGAAGAGTGTGGGGTCCAACCGAGCTTCAAGGGGTTATAGCACGGGGGTGGGGACAGGCTGGGGGCGGGCCCAGGAGCACTCCTTTCCCTTGGCAGGAGGGAAGGGACTAGGGTATGTGGGAATGAGGATACCCTGCAGGGTGGGGAAAGGCTGGGAGCACAGCAACAGGACATGGAGTGTGGGTAAAAGCACTGTGAGCGGCCCATCACGGAGAGGGAATGCTGGTGGAACAGGCTGCAAGAAGGACATGCCCAGGACACCAGGAGGGCCCCGCTGGCAAACCGCCTATGGCCTAACGCTGTGAAACATTCCAATCAATTAGCTATCCCCGCTTGGATTCCATGACCACCAGCTGTCCGTGTGCTGTATCTGCCTACCAGTCGGAGAATATAACCCAGGTGCTCTTTCCCCAGGGTCCACATTTGTTCCTCACAAGTTTGGGGGGGACCCACTGCTAAAGGACACTTGAGTCCCTGGGCCTCTGAAGGACTCAATCTATCAGGAGCAGCTCCTGGAAAACTGCTTTCCCAAGCTGATGGCACTGCCAGGTGGAGCCTCTGCTCAGGACCCATCAAAACCCAGCTCGGGCCACACGGCATTGCCCTTGTGCCACCCTGTCCTGCTACTCTGCTGGCTTCATGTTAGAGCATTGACTTCCTGTAACTCTGTGTCTGGCCAAGGAGGCTTCAATGAGCTTTTGATGGCTTCTCTCTTTTGTGAAGTTGCCTTTGGCTCTTTTCTACTATTATCCCAAGGTTGTAATAATTACAGTCCACCTGGGGTTCTAATGATGATGTTCTCACCTTCCTCATCTGACTCATTCTCAAAAACGCTAAACACCACAGACCTAAGATTACAACAAATCCATGTGCCCCTTAAGTTAGTCCTGACTCGCTTAGGCCTCTTAGCCACTTGACTTTTGACTCTGAACATGACTTGTGAAGAACTGTCCTTTGGTTACTTTCATTTGTATTATTAACTTTTGGGCAAGGTTGTTTTTATTGTTCTATTATTAGTAACTCAGTTACAATTCCTCTTAAGCCCCACATACTCTGGTATGTAAGTATAAAGCAGTTCATCATGCAAAATCAAATAAAATGCTTTGACTTCTACTCTTTTATCTTAATGAGTGTAACAAAAGTAAAAATAATAAAATTCACAATCCTGAACAAAACCTCTGTAGAAATTTGTTAAATGAAGAGGAAGGGCAAGGGAAGCTTCTTCAAGATAAGTATACACTGAGCACAGCTGACCTGTTTCCACCTTCATGTCTGCTGAACCATTTCTACAGAAAACTAAAAAAGGTCTGCCCTGCTGAAGACACAAACCATATAAGCCATTTCCCATTTCATACTGTTAATGTTGAAATGCAACATTATGAAGTCCCTAAAGTTCTCAGGGTTTTTTTTAACTTTAGTTTTGCCAGATGTAATAAAATATCTTATTGCAGAGAAACTCAAAATGACGGGTTACAAGACCAGAACTAAAACAACATTTATATTTGTCCTCAGACTAACATCAACCATACAAAGCCATTAGGGTCCTCCTACACTAAGAGTTTCACAAAGTATACCCCTAAGATATTAAAAGTTAGAAAATAAGATCATTCTTCAATTTCCTAACCATTTTATTTAAATAATTACTTTGTAGCATGGTCAAAATTATGGTGCCCACTTGATCCTGGGGTAAATATTTGAGAAAGATTAAAACTCTGTCACAACTTCCAAAAGGAAAACAAATGTTCCTATTCAAATGAACATTTTTTTTTAAGAATTATGCAGTTCTTCTAACTACATTATGGGTTTAAGTCATTTGCCACTTTAATAAGAGATAAATTCTGAATAAGTTTGGAAAGTTAAATGTAGATTACAAGCTTTACCAAGTGAATAGGATTCCTTTGAAAAAGTATTCATATCTTAAAATAGTAATTTGTTATTAATCAGACTATTCAAAGTAAAATGAAACTGAACACATTTCAAACATAGCCAGAATACCGAATACAACTCAAGATGAAACCCAGGTTCGCTTCTTAAGTAATTTATGATTAAATAGGCTCACTTACCTGGAAGCCTAAGAAAAGCAGGTCAGGAAGGAGCTGGGAACTACAGCATTCCTCCACTGGGCAAATATACCTCGGCTTCCCTCCTTGAAACAAAACGGAATCTAAAATATAAAAAAATAAAATAAAACAAAAATAAGAGGTAGCTCCTGTGCATCTCCCTGTCTCCAACGTAGGTTATACTAGAAAATGGTAAAATCTGAAATCATTTAAGATACCAAATACAAACTCATCCTAAGTATTGCCACACACACAAAAAAAAACCAGGATGGTATTTTCCCCTCCCTATTTTAAGGGGTTCGATACAAAATATTCGTTTAAAAGAACACGCGTAAGCGAGGTTTAAAGTAAATGGTGGAAGCCATGTAGAACCGTGTTCGGAGCCACATTCGAGAACGAAAAAAAACACCGAAAAACACACCCCCACAAGCAAACCTCGCCAGGCAGAAACGTGCCCGCGGCCCACGCGCTGCGTCCTGGCCTCGCCCGGGGAGGCTCGGTCCGCGCGACCGCCGCTCGGCTCCAGAGCTACGGGGCCAGGGTCGGGGCCGGGGCCGGGGCCGGGCCGGGCCTCCCCCCCCGCCGCCCCCACCGAACGCGCTGTGCTCGGCGCCACCAGTTTTTTTTTTTTTTGATGGTTCCAGGAGATGAAATGTTAAAAATATATATCAAGTCCTCCTGGAAGTTTCCCCAGGGAAGGAAAGGGCGCGCACGCCGCGATGGGCTCCGAGGGCGCCAGAGGGACCCGGCCCTCCTCCCGGGTGCGCCCCGCCCGGCCGCCGCGGCGGAAGGACCCCTGGGACCCCAGTTCCAGTCCCGCGGCCCCGAGGCCCCGCCGGGCTCCCCCGACCCAACCGCGCCTTTGTGGAATTCCGCCGGGGGCCCAGATGTGTCCACGAAGATAACAGCAGATGCAGGAGAAAACAAGCAAAACATTCTGGAGGCAGAGGCAGGAGAAATGTTCTGGAAAAGCCTCCTGCAGAATGAGCGTTAAGAATGCTATCTTCAATTAAGATTATTGAAGATTGAAGAATTATTAAGATTATAAGAAAGACTTATCTTTCCCAAGAGTTTTCATAATGTTACCTCATCTGTCTTTATAATTCAAGTAATAGCAAAAAGTAAACAAAAAAAAAAGATTTGAATACTATTGTTCTCATGTCACATGCTGGAATTAAAAATAGTCCAGAATGGTTAAGAGGAGGCCAAAGACATAAGCGCAGGTCTGTGACCCTAGTGCCTTTTCCATCTTTTCCATGGGGACGCGCCCCCCACCCCAGTCACTGCAGAAGACCTATCTCGTTCTGGTTTCTTTCTTCAGCTAAGTTGGAAGTTTTTCCTCTGAGACTTTGCCATTAACATGGTCAGAAGTGTGAAGTTACTACCATGGAAGTTTGGGGTCTGTTTATATCCACGAGCTTACCTGTTTACTGTGGGTTCAGTGTTAAAGGGGGCTGGCCAGCCTGAGCCCCATCATCCCAGGCCCCCACGGTCCCCCATTTCCAGCAGGACTGCAGGCTGCCGCTCTGGCTTTGCTCTCACAACCCACTTCCGCCTCTGCCTGGCTAATTAATCTGTGTCTAAATGGAACTGCAGTTGGCAGAAAGACAGCAATGCCAAAGTGGAATAATCACTTGGACCTGAATCTGCCTCGTTTTCCATCCTTGACAACAAATAATGTGACTCCAGAGCCTGCAGGCCAAGGGTTGAAATGAGTTTGTAATTTGGCTTCCATTCTCATTCTCAACCACTTAAATTTTCTTTTCTGTCTTTTAGCGATGCAGGGAGCACCTTTGCAGGCCACATCGCTGATGTGGGTGTTACTGATATCCTTAATGAACATTCCTTGCCATCTAAATAAAAGGGGCAAAAGTCCACATCATCTCAAACCACACTTGCTTTAATAATGAAACTAGATCCACTGTGAGCTCGTATCTCATATGATGATTAACATTCTAGTTCATACTTCTCACTCCAGCAACGTGAAGAGAAATGTTCACCGTGTTTTCATCCAACAGAGTCTATGTTCATCCAGCCTCCAAGCCTTCCTAGCAATGCCAGGCTGCAGGTTAAGAGCCATGGAGGGTGTAGCTCCTCCCTCTTTTCCTACTGCGAGAACTCATTAAGGCTCTGATCCCTGGTTCTGGCAAGTACATTGTCTCCTTAGTAGGTCCAAACATCGGCTCCCCAAGAAGGGAGTCATCTGGAGCTAGATGGAGGACGAAAGAGATGGGAAGGCAGGAGTGCTGACAAGGCTCCCTTAGAGATTTGCACAGAAAGGGAATCAGCACCGTGGATTCCTGAAGGTAAACCGCAGGTATGCTACCGAGGAGTGGGTGTGTCCAAGTGGACACTCCCCTGCTACGAGGGGAGGCAACAGCACCTGCAAAGGGGCCGCACTCCACGCACTGGGCCAACTGCACGGCCTGTGAACTCATCTATCCCCACAACAACACCATTGGTGTGTGTATGTTAACATACCCATTTTACAAATGGGGAAAATGAGGCTCCAAGGTGTTAAGAAACCTCCCCGACTAGCATATGATAAAGCAGGAGTTTTCTGACTTCAAAACCAAGGTCTGAAAAGAAAAATGAAAACAAGCCATTACTTTCTGTTATGCAGCACTGCCTCACATGCAAATGCCAGGCCTCACACGTGGTTCTCTATGGGGAATGGGGCTTCATAGGAGCTTATATTGCATTAAAGTGATGCCCTGGTAGACATGCTGCCAGCATGTAAAGGCTGCCATTGAGGCCTTGAGACTCGGCCTTCAAGAGAAATCACTGTGACACAAATGTACTCTCAGACAATCTTCCTGGGTATCAAAGAAAGAGGCAACAAGTGCTAGAAGTATAAGCTCACTCCAGGAAAGCAGCTGCAGGTACACAGAATATACAAACACAGTGCCTCGCTCTGTCCTGTTTGGAAATAGCTTTCAACCACACCCCTCACCCAGGATCCAGGTGTAAGGTCCCCTCTCTTGCCATCTGATGCCCTGGGTGTTCTCAACAGTTTTGCAGGAACCTTGAGGGTTATGAGGAGCTCATGTGGCCTCACAAGCTGTAGTTATGGTAAAAAGGAGGCAAGAGAAGCCGAAAGTGTGTGAGAGCAGCTGGGAGAATGTCCATGGAAAAAGCACAGACTTGCGATTTGCAAGTGTCCCAGCTGGGATTAGAATGGTTGGGAGGGGGCTGCCCCACCCCACCCCCACAGTAACAGAGTTAGACAAACGTTCATTAGCAGTGCTTCACAAATAAGTCAGCTTTTAATCATGCTAAAGAGAGACGACCAGCAATCAACTACTGAAAAGAGCAATCAAAAACGTGGGAAAAGTGCACACTGAAATCAGTAATATTTTAACAGTGCGGGAACCCATTCTATTCAGTGTATAATTAATACGTGAAAGTTCCTGGCACTTTAATTTCTGAAGAGCTTCAAAAATACAGTTGGTCCAATGGTGTGACAATACCCATCCATGTGTCTTAAGTTCCAAGGACTTAAATATCAATCTTTAAATCTTTAGTCCATCTAAACCGTGTGTCAGACACATTGATTCCTGAAATGTGAAGTATAAGAAGAGAAGATTAAAAGGCTGTGCCTAAAATAACAACTGAAAAGCACCAAAATATGGCAGAGACTAGCTATGTGTCTGCCAACCCAAGCTGCCTGGTGAGATTTTCTTTGTGCATATGTGAATATGTTTCAAAATCTTGATGGTAATGTTTTTTATTTGCATAAACCAGTGGAGTCCTCTATGTTATGGTAATGGAAGACAGCATGCACAGGGTCAGGAACTATGCGGCCAGTTGCTAAAATTATCTTCCTCAAGACTATGTTTTCAAAAAAGAAAGTGTTCTTGAATGCTACACATTACAAATCTCATGTTACTATATTCTTGACCACATTCCTTCCACATTAAATAATTTTACTGAAAATAGTATGTTTTAGGGCACAACTGGCTTTAAAAGTCATGAGTTGTCCCCCCACCACCTCCAAATATTGCTGTTCTGTCTGTGAAATGAAAAACAGGATCTCCACGTCCTGGTCTAGAGTATACAGAGCAGACTAAATGAGGAGACACCTCTTTTTCCTAATCCTTCCAATTAGGTAGGTGGCCTCTTTTTTCTTCACTTCAATTTCTTGCTCTGATAAATGGGAACAATCTCAGATACTATTAGCAGAACTACCAAGACTATGAACAAAATTACATGAGTTCCCTGGTAGAACTATCTTCACATTTTTAACACGTGAACCACTAATATGATGGAGAATGAAATGACTCACTTACTGAATAGAGGCACAAATCATATGATGTTAGAGCAGAAAGAAAGACAGACTGATTTGGAGTAGAGAGGACCAGAGCTACAGACTGGTCTCTTGGAAAGAAACTAAATTGCTCTGTTTGCCATTGGAGGTTAGCCCGGTAACAGATGATTCTTCTGAATCAGTTACGATACAGACAGACGGTTGATGTGCCTCCATGAAAGAGAGCTGTTCTCCAGCACCCAGTCCACACCACCAGTCACACTTACATGCAACTGTTCATTTTATTAGACAGCCTCTCCCAGTAAACTCTTCTGGGCCAGCCCTGGCCCTCTCAGGCACTGCAGCTGCCTGGCTTGTGCTAAATACAGTCACAGACACTTGTGAGGCAGGAACAGCGTTTCAGGGAGATCAGCTATATGCAATTCTGTGCAGAGTAAGAGATTGGGTTTTCGTCTGCTATCGGCGGAATGTTTGTGCCCCCCAAAATTCGGATGTTGAAATTCAGATCCCAGTGTGACAGTATTTGGAGTGGGCCTTTTGGAGGACCCTCATGAGTAGGATCAGTGCCCTTGTAGGAAAAGGCCACACTGCTTGCTAGCATTTTTTTTCCAAGTAAGGCTATAAGGAGAAGCCGGAAGTCTGCAGCCTGGAAGGCAGGCTCTCAGCAGAACCGAACCATGCTGACACCACGACCTTGGCTTTCCAGCCTCCAGAACTGAGAGAAGTAAATGACCATTGTTAATAAGCTACACAGTTTGTGATATTTTGTAACAGCCTGAAATAAGGCGTTATCTTAAATGCATTACTGTGAGACTTCAGGTGAGTCCATAACTTCTT